CTGTTCCATTCCTAACACAGGTTATCTTTGATCTCAAATTTCTGAGCAAGTTTGGTGGAGTCACTGGGGCTGGTCAACTCTTTATTTCCTGCATGTTTTTCATTGGTATATCTTACCCTAAATTACGTGTACCAAGTCTAGATAATGATGACTACTTTCATGCATCTCTCCATAGTGCTTTATCTTGAAATGATTCTTTATATCATGTTAAAATAGATCACTGGAAGCTTCTCCTCTAACTATTGTGTTTCCACCTTCTGTGTCATTATATGCTCTTCTGTCTAGATTTCAATTGTTCCAGCTTCTTAAATCTTCCGTGAGTTGTGTGGTCCCATGAATACAGGCCTCAGGAAAGGTCTGTTATCTGTCAGTTTATCAAAGGCAATGACCATCATGAAGTCAGCAGTGACTTCTTCCTGAGTTTGTTCTTCTTTTCTTAACGTAAGCATCTTTAACATCAGATTTTTGACTTTGTGAATATAGTTGCCTAATACTTGTGAGCTGTTACAGTTAATATCTAAAGTGGTCAGTGCAGTTGTCATGGTTTGAGCCTGGTTGGCAGCCAAACACCACACAGCTGCTCACTCCTCCCTTCTCCCCAGCAATGAGAAGGAACAAATGAGCCAGGCTTGGGATTCGAGATAGGACTGGGAGGGGCAAATCACCCTTTATGGGCACGAGCAAAAGGCAAACTCGTTAGGGGAAGAAAAAGAGAACATACATTTATTACAGACACTAACAACAACACATAACAGAGTAGGACAGTGAGAAGCATTGCTATATCTTGAGAACACCTTCCCCCCACCCCTCCCTTCTTCCCAGGCTCAGCTCTGCTCCCGATATCTCGACCACCTCCCCCCAGCGGTGCAGGGGCAGGGAATGGGGGGTGCAGTCAGTGCTGCCGCTTCTTCCATCTTTGGTGGGGGGAGCTTCTGGAACTTGCTCCCCCTGATCCATCGTGGTCCCTCTCTCACAGGAGACAGTCCTCCACAAACCCTCTCTGACGTGAGTCCCTCCCACAGGCCGCAGCGTTCCCCACACTGCTCCGTTGTGGGTCACCAACTTTCTCCGACTGGATTCCCTCCCACAGCTGCAGCCCTTCCTGAGCTGCTCCGGCGTGGGACACCCCCACATGCTGCAATCCTCTCAGTGCTGAACTACAACAGCGGGGGCTGCCTTTTTGCACAAGACCCCAGCCTTCTTTGGGCACAGCACCTTGCTCAGCCAGGTGGAATGAACCACAGGCCATAAATCAGTGTCTGCTCCACTATAGATCTCCATGGGTGGCAGGGGGGGCCGCCCTGCTGTCTCCCCACAGGATACAGGGGGGTCTCTGCCTCAGCACACCTCCCCCCTCCTTTCTTCCTCCATTCCTCCACTGACCTTGGTGTTCATGCAGCTGCAGCAACTCCTCCTCACAAGTCCCACTGCTCCTCACCACGTCCCTTCTTAAATACATTATCGCAGAGGCGCAGCTGACGGGCTCAGTTTTGGTGCAGAGGTGGAGCTGACTTGGAGCTGGGGGAGCTTCGAGAAGCTTCTCATACGGGGCTGCCCCTATAGCCCCCTTCCCTGCTACCAAAAACAACCCCACTACTCACTCAAACCTAGGATAACAATGTGCATCCATTTTACAATGCAGTCCACAAATGATCTCGTTTCATTTCTAGTTGACCTATTGTTGTGATTTGAGCCTACTCAGCAGCTAAATACAGCGCGGTCACTCACCCAGCCTCCCCCTACGTGGGAATGGGGAGGGAATCGGAGGGGCAAAGGGAGACTCGTGGGTTGAGATAAAAACAGTTTAATAACAGTGACAGAATAATACGCTGACACCAGTATCAACAGGTAACGCACCATACAGCTGCTCACCAACCAACACCCACCTGCTCCCAGCTGGCAATCCTCAACACAAAGGCCCCACAGCCACACTCCCAGAAGTAGCAGCCTCTCCTGGCCCACTCCTGCCTTTATATAGTGAGCACAATGTCACATGACATGGACTATCGGCCAATCGGGGCCCAGCCCTCCAGCTGTGCTCCCCCCGCCCCCGCACACAGGTGAGGGCACTGGGACCTGGGGAGCCCCTGGGGTCTCAGGGTGCTGCAGCTCCTCCCGCTGCCAAACCAACAGGAGCTCTAGTCCAGCCCTAACCAGGACACCTATACTAATTTTTCTTCTTAGGTACCCACTGAAATCTTCTTAATCTCCCTTTCTGCAATTCTTCTTATGTTTTTTGGTTTGGTTTGGTTTGGTTTGGATTTTTTAGTTTTGTTTTTTTTTTTTTTTCACAACACCTGCCCACCCACTATTTTTTTATTCCGCAAGTACTTACATTTTTGCATTTTGTTCTGATCCACAAGAGCTAATGAACTTTACCTATGACCTTGCTAACATTTGCTTTCTGTTCTGAAGTTCCAGCCTGTGCTTTTCTCTTAGGTTAACTGGTTATCATTTGAATTTGATTGAGCCTCCTTATAGCATTTAGCTTGAGGTTTACATTTTCTTTTTGACACCTTAGAAGAAATTGTGCACCCAAAATCTTGGAACTTTTTTTCCAAGTATATTAGCCAATAAAATAAAAGATTCAGTAACTCTTCCTACAAAGCTTGCTTTTCTCATGTCCTTACACCAGGGTTAGAATGAAGCTGATACTGTTCTTCTTGTATTCACATGGTAATATAGCTTGGCAGTCTTCATAATGATCTTGATTTATGCAGTCTAGTGAAATAGCTCAATCACACTTGGCTACAATTTCATGCTGAAAAGTGGCATTCTCTTTCTGCCTATTGCAGTCCATTCCAACTTTGCATGAGATCTAATTGTATGACCTTAGGATAAGTTGGATCATCTTGCTCATTTAACAGAAAATTATTGTCCACAAATTATTACTTTCCTATGAGATTTGTTGATCTGTCTAGTGATATTGGCTACACTGTTTGCCATCAGCTAAGCAATGGCATTTCAGGAGGATCATGCCTTTCAGAGGCAGGCTGCAGTTAAATGAGGTTAAATATAATAATAACAATTTCATGTCTGTATTACTCTTTCCTGCAAAACATTGTCAGGCTTATGGAGAAAATCTTGACTTTAGTGAAGTTTGGAGTAGAACCTACATTGACATGAGTGGATGTTACTATTTCATCTCCTTTTATGTTGAAACTGAAGGTAGCTTCAGCACCTTTCTTTGAGGAACAAAGAATTATTTAATAACTTGTAATTCTTTTCTTTGTAACTTCTCATCTTACATTTTTAGGAAATTGTGTGTTGTTTTTCACCATATACCGATTTGTTTGTTCAGCTGCAAGAGGCACCGGTATCTAAAAATATTGCTTTAATATATTACTTCTGGAATTTAAGTATTTTTGGAAAAGTTCATTTGTGCATAAAAAAATAAAATGTGTCATACCAGTTAGATTTTTTAGTTGAGATGTTCTTTATGTCCTTTTCCTTGTCTCACTGATTTTATTTTCTTATTGCTTCTGCTGCATGTTTCACTGTTTCTTTCCAGTTTTTATCTAGTTTCAGCATTAGTCATAGCCTATCTGTAATTAATATGCATGTGTTCCACAACCCACATCATGAGAAGGGTAGAAGCATTATATATCCACCCTACTTAAATGTAAATCTTACGACTTGTTGGCAAAACAATGCCGTATAGCAGGAAATCACAGGCAGCAGTACTGTAGGTTTGTATCCCGCTGAGGGACCCTGGTACCATGCACATACTGTTTTCTTGCTGTAATCAAATGCCTTTAGTGTTGCCTGTTTTTCAGAGTCCATGCTTATCACTCTGTTTTTACTACTTCACATCTCTCTGGTTTACTCCTATGAGATTATTGTGGGACAAGATGTCAGCTAGGCAATGAGTAAATTAGCAAAGACTGTTTGGAACGTAGGACCAGTATTATCAGTGAAATAGAGCTCAACAAGGGAGATACAGCAAAATATAATTTAATTTTTCTGACACATCTGCTTCTTTCTGGCTCCAGTTTGAAACAAACACTGAGAATTAGGGGATATTACATAGCTAAAACATATGTTAATATGCTGGAAAATGTGCTGGTTTTTACTGCTAGATCACAAATGGTGTTGTCAAACATTTATCTCTTAGTTACCTTAAAGGAAGTAAAATAGTGAGAGTGTGTGTTCTAGCAGCATTACCTCTTCTGCTGTTTCCTCTCTTTATTTGCTAGTTTGCTTTTATTGTCTATTTATTATGCTAGAGGTGGTACCCACTGCTAATTTGTTTTATATAATTACTTTTTTCACTTATTATAATTCCTTCAATAGTCAGACATATCCTTACAAAATAAGCTTTGTTTTATAGTAAATTGCTTTTAAAAGTTATTGTAGAAAATACTGTGATTATGACTTTTAATGATCTTTTATCATTGAATATTTGACAGCTGTAGAAAGTAAAAATAATTCTAATGTTCTTCCACAGTTCTCACTGTTGACACCTATGAAATTATGTGTATAGCTGGTGTTAGTTTTAGTACTGAGTTTACACCAGTTAGTTTGTTAAGGTTACCTGTCATCCACTTTTCTGCCAGTACAGCATATTAGCTAACATGAGTGTTAGGTTTATTTAGAAACAGCAACGTTGCTGTCTTCATTACATTTAATTAATTTGTTTTGTACCATATTCCAGGCAGATGCGCAAGTACAATAATGATCTTGATTTTTGATTGTGTACAATAGCTCTAGACATAGGCATAGGATAGAGGGCTGTGATTAAAACACATCAATCAGTTGTAAACTGAGTTATCATCAGTAATAGGGATGACTGAAAAGAATACACTAATGCTGGATTAGCCCACTTGCACTTACAGTAACAATTATAATGGAAATGCTGGTTTAGTAGTAATAGGTAATTTTCTTTGTTATTCCCACTCCCTATCCCTTCCCATTTCCCTTAATTGGAACTCTGTTTTTATGTAATCTTAGCTGACACTATTTCTGACACTATCTTCTGCTACCATCGGCTTATTTTCTAGATGGGAAGTGATGGAGTTTTGCGCCTCAGTAGTTCTGCTCTAAATAATGAATTCTTCGCATATGCAGCACAAGGGTGGAAACAGCGATTGGCAGAAGGTAAATCTCTACTGTTCTCAGAACTACCAAAGGTTAATTGTTTTTATGAAGAATGTCTCTGTTTCTACAATTGAGAAATACTTTTAGAATAGAAAGTGTAATACACCAGTAATTCAGCAAAAGAAAAATTGCTGATTCAGTGTTGAATTTAGTGTACATTTTTACAGCTTGCTGTGGCGGCTTATTTTGACAGTTTAAAAAAAAAAAAAAAAAAAACAAACAAAACAAGCATTCTCATCACTGCCAGCCTTGGAAACATAAATGCATGCAACTAAATCCCACCAATATACTTTTGAAATACTGATGTTATATGATAAATTAAAACTTTCTATTTCACACTCACTTTTGTTTTTCATTGTTCTCATTTGGAATTGTTGGACGACTGCAACAGAAATCACTGTATGTCATCTTTGTATCTGTAGTTTATAATTACCCATATTAAGCTAATCCTTGACAACTTTTATTTAATATGTTAGTATTTGTTTTTTAGGAGAATTTACACCAGAAATGCAGTTGCGCATCAGACAAGAGATTGAAAAGGAAAAGAAAACAGAACCTTGGAAAGAAAAATTCTTTGAAAGGTTTTATGGTGAAAAGTAAGTATTGAAGCAAATAAAAGCATTTTTTAATTTTCTTTTGGGAGGAAATGAAAATATAATTCTCTGCATCACATGGCACGGTCATATGCTGTAAAACTTAATAAAGCAGTTATCAAAGTCAGTCATTCCCCAGTATAAGAAGTTGTGGGTAGAATTATAGTGGTGTGTCTGCACTTGCATTACAATTGCATTTTTAAAGGTTCATAAATCATCCGTAAAAAGTCATTCCAAGGAGAGCTTAAGACAAGGCCCAAGCATGTGAGTATTTTGTAATTATCTTTTAAAAAATCACATTAGGGCAATTCTGCCATCCTGCAAAATATAAAAACAGCTTCTACAGACTAGAAGACCAGTAGAGATATTTCTGTAGTATGTTTTTATTTATTTTATTCTTTATAAACTAGTTGCAAAGTTTCTAAAATCAAATAACATTTTTTATTGTTTGAGTGAAATGGCCCTTTGCTGGAGTAGAATATATGACATAAAAGAAATGTTGGCTAGAGACAAATTAAAGTGACAGTGACTAGTCTAGTTTTAGAAGCAAGATGCAAAGAATAACTAAATATCCTTAAATGACTAAAATTAATTAGATAATATCACTCCAGGTACACAATTGTGTGAGTCAGCACAATTTCATTGATGATGATACAGAGATAGCATTCTGCAGCAGCTGAAGATTCTGTTCTTATATTCAGGGGGGATTTGTAATACAAATTTAAGGAAACTCACATCTTTTTAAAAATCAAGAATGTTCCTTTCAGAAATTGCTTTGGAAAGTTAATCCACCAATACTTAGAATTACATCTCTGTTTGTAAAAATATTAAATATTGAATATATTATTAACTAATTATTTAAAAGTTACAAAATTTAAAATTATTATTTTCAGCTATGTTTTAATGAAATTTATGCATAAGACTTAGTAGCCAGAAATGTTCCATGGAAACCATCATCACATGAGATGTCTTTGTTTTGTTGTTAGATGTTTCTTACTTAGGAAATCCAGGGTACAGGGAACTCTTCATAAAAGTAATTAACTTAAAGATTAAGGCATTCACTAAAGTGTTTCTGCATTAACAATGCCACTTCTCACAGTCCACTGCCTTGAACCACTGGAAATGTAGTGAAAACAAGGCAGCAAACGGACAGATCCATTTTAGTATTCTATTTTGCATATCCTTGCAAGGTGTTTTCTCCCAGTGTGAATACTATTTCTACACCACTTTATCTTTACATATAATGGTAGTTCTAAGGTTTTAATATGGCAAACTTTCTTATTTTCAAGTGCTTAATTTCTTACTTAACAGCTTGAGACCTCAATGTAGTCCAGGTGTTGATCTTTTTAGTATCAAAAAATATTAATTAGGTTTTTTGATAAGAAACATAATGGCTTTTCATCATGCATGTCAAGAGAAGAGTCAGTTACCAACCTTTCATGAAGGTCAGGCCTTCCACAAGAAGAAGAAGTTTGGTACCAGCAAAGCATGAGCATCTCACTCTAGCTGAAGCCTATTCCTCAGGCACAAATGACTGTCACATGCACAGAGAATGATACTCATAATTTTACGGAGCCAGCAGTCCTGCCGTGCTAGCTGAATGCTGGACACTATAATGGTTGGCAGATAATTACTCGGTCTGCAGTGATACATGTCATTTGGGTTGATAGGTTTCTGACATCAACATTGTTATGCAAAATGTCATATTGCACATAATTTCCATTTTGACTACAGCATTAAATCTTGCCCCCCCTGCCCTTTCACCAGCTTGCATTGTTTCACTTGCATTCTTCTTTCTGGCTGTTATGTAGGTAAATTCCACTTCTTTGCTGCTTGGCCAGATTTAAATACTTTTTCTCATTATTTATTGACTTGAATGGTGTAAGTTCTTTCACCTTTTTTTTCACTTTGGTTTTTAAACTTGTTTTGAGTATGATTGGTCTTTGTCTCTTTTCAGCTATGTTGATTTGACTGAAGTAGCAGATTTTGAAAGCTTCCTGAGCTATTTCTCACATGCACTGTCTGCAAAATGGATCTCTCTCGCGGTCTAACTTGCTCACTTTACAGTCACTGGGGTATTTTTGCTCTGACTTCAGCTAATTTGATTTTTTAATATTCCATAAGTAAATTAAAGTTTCACCTTATACTTAGAGAAGGAACATGAATAGATGCAGAATCTTTGTAAAAATTTTCACACACTCCCCAGTTCATGGCATTCAAAGGCATTAGAGTGCTTCTTCAGCGTTGGCTCTGCTCATTATTATAGTTTACTTCCATCCATTTATGTCCTCTTTCTGCTTCCTCATGGTTGTTCATTTTTCCTCTCTGACTTTCTTTAAAAAAAAAAACTTCATTCTGCAGTCATTTATCTGGGATCAGCTGATGCATGTTGCCAGAAATCCACATTCTTCTGCCTTGTTGTCCCAGGATTGCAAATGTTATACTCTATTGTCTTAATATATTATTTGTTTTTCCACTTTTGAGAGAGTTACATGTCAGGATAGAACTGCCAGCTCACTAAATCAAAGCTTTTATTTTGGGTAGACCTCCTCTAAGTTTTATTGCTGATTTAATTCTTCATTATTTTTTTTGTTTGTTTCTCCAGTACTACTTATCACAGCAATAGAATATCAGGATCCATATATCCTTGAGTAACTGTTTGGGATTTTTTTTATTTGGCAACTGACTGCCCTTACTTTATCAGTTAAATCTTGTCCTTAGCACTTTCAGTGATGGCTGTTTACTGCTGTGCTCATATTTTTGTGCAGTTCTGCAAACTTTGGGTATCTTTTTCTCTAAGGAATAAGACAGATCAGCTGTTTATCTTGCAATCTGAGATTGTCTTAAACATGCTGATCTTGAGCCTTCTTCTTTTAAAAGCCTTTTTCTTCACTGCAGTTTCTTATTCAAGACAGTAATATTTCCAATACTGCAAAAAAAGCAATTAAGATTCAGTACATGTTCTGCTGGCCTTAATTCTGCATTATCTTGTTTTTCTTACACGTCATCCTCTTCAATATGTTACTAGAATGTGTGTATTTGTGTAGTGTCCATGTGACAGTTGCATTCACCTTCATCGCAGCCTTCATCCCTGTGCTGGTTTTCATTCCATAAAGGTAACTATCAGGCAATATCTTTTTGTGATATAAGTCAGCTGGAGAAAGTAGACCACTGATTCAGTTTTCAGTAATGCAGTAGATTTCTTTCCCTTCCTCATTTTCCTCGGATAATTTTTGCTAGTTTACACAAGGAATTTTAGAGGAAGGAAGTTACTCACCTAAACCTAGGTAAATGAAACTTTACTCACCTAAACTTATAACCTAAACTTAGTCTATATAAGGAACCTGTAGTCTATATAGAAGAAAAACACATCTTCTGAAATGCATTCAATGTGGGAGATGTAAATTTGCTGTTCTGAATTGTTCTCTAGAGGATCTTGCCTCAGCATATTGATGGCATAGGGAAACTTTGTGCATATTAAGTGGCTAGTAGTAGGCAGTATTAATAATTATCCCGAGAGTGCTTTTTGAAGTACCAATTCCAGGCTGGTTTTGTTTTGTTTTGTTTTGTTTTTTCATTTACAGCTATCACTGTAATGCTTCTGATCAGTGTTTTTAAAATGCACAACCACAGATTTGGGGTTTTTACATGTTTATTCTGCACTTCCATATACATGGGCCATTGTAATCTCTGTATCGTCTGGCTGCAAATTGACAAATTATCTTGTTTCCATAGTTTCTGTGTATCTTTTATGCTCACAAATTTCCATATCATTCTTTGTTTTCTGGTTAAAATGAGAACAGAGATCAAACTTCTGTTAATTAGATTAGAAAATCCTTAAGACCTTTTAAGGCCTCCAATCAAGCTTTTGTGTATTTTGTACTATTATAGAATTGCTGAGGCATGAAGTCTGCTTGGAAAATTTTACTAAAGATGCTGAACACCTGTACTCCGACTGTCCTTAGAAGGAAATGAGGATGTCAGAGTGCATACATCTCTTTTAAATAACCATTTTTTTCAGTCCTTGGCTTTTGTTTTGTTTTGTTGTGTTGTTGTTTTTTTGTTTTTTTTTTTTTTTTCTTAATTCTGTTGAAGCAATAAAACTTTTTTTAAACTAATATTTTCAGGACCAAAGATAAGAAAAATCTTCAGAAGAGAAGTATATGTAGAAATGGCTCCTTTGCACTTGATCCCTGTGAATGAATGCATAGATTATAAATATGTGTCTTTTTAGCTCCCTAAGAATGTTAAACTTCTTTTTAATTATAGTGAAATCGAATGAATAGTATGTACATAGATCTGTTTATTTAGAAACAGTTTTTATCTTAAATGAAGTATTTATTTTGCTGAAAGAATGGAGCAAAGCCACACAAGCTGTCAACAGAGATCTTCATAATTGACTCCGAGTTGTAAAATGAGGCTGAATTGGAATTATTTTGATTTTCATAATTTTAAATGACTGTCAAATTACAAAACAAATGCATGCTTTACCATCTTAGTTTTAGGTGCAGCTTTTTCTTTAAAGTGCAGTGTTTAAGCCATATTGCTGGCTGTGTTGACCCTAAATGCAGGAGGAAAAAAGGGATTTCCTTTAGAACTGTTACTGATGGAAGATATAGTTGTAGAGTTGTGCATTTCCTCTGCAAGGCATGCTGCATTAATCTTGCACTGTTGTACTGGTATTTAAAAAAAAAAAATAAAAAATAAAAAACAAAACAAACCAGAAATTTAAACAGAATATGAGTTTTGGTGAATCTGTGTAGCTTGCTTTTTTGTTTCATCGAAGTGCCAAGTAGTTAAATAATGAATAGTAGATTACTTTTTTAAAAAATATTTTGTATTTTTTAACACTGGTAAGAAAATCTGAGTAGCTATGTTTATATAAATTAATATAAATAAGTATAATATAATTAATATAAATAAGTTAATATAAATTAGTTAACCACCACTTAATCAAAACAGTATTTTAAACTGGAAAATATGTTCTTATTGTAAATGAAAGATGTAGGCAAGAAAGAAGATCCTTTTTCCTTATCATGTTTGTGATGAAAAGACCTTTTTAATTTGTGTGTTTTTATTTAGATTGGGGATGTCAAGAGGGGAATCAATGAAACTCACTGCAGTGCAGAACAACGATGAAGAGGAAAGCAATTCTTTGTGCGGGTCTTCTGGCACACCTGGGCCTTCTAAGCAAGCAACCTTTGAGGATCAAGAGGAGAAAGGCACTAAAATTCCACCTTTACCAGAGAGAGATTATTGTCCATCTCTTTGTAGTATGGAACAGGTTCCTGTCAAGGATCTAACAGCAGAGTCGGAGGATATATTGATACCCGAGGAATCAATCATTCAGGAGGAGATTGCTGAAGAGGTTGAGACAAGTATTTGTGAATGCCAAGAGGAGAACCATAAAACAGAAAATGAGTTTTCTGAGGAGTCAGTAAGTCCAGCTGGCACAACTGAAGAAGCAGAGGGAGTACAGCTTGCAGACAGCACTGAGTCCTGTGTCATGATGAATGATGTAACTGATACTGTATCTCACATTGAAATTAAAGTGGAGTTGAAGTCAGAATGCCCTCAGGAAGAGATGTCAGTTGTGATAGATCAGCTGGAAGATTGCGTATCACCAGCACGATCAGCTTCATCCACAAACTCTGTCAGTGATACAGCAGAGAAGGATTCTGAGTCTGCAAAAGAGCTAATTGCACCAGAAATGCAAAATGCTGCTCTGGAAGGCTCCTTGTTCACTGGTGGAGGCATTGCAGTGGATATGGAGCTTCAAAGTGACCCTGAGGAACAGTTGTCTGAGAATGCTTGTATTTCTGAAACTTCCTTTTCCTCTGGAAGTCCAGAAGGACCGTGTGTTTGTGTTGCCTCTCCTGGAGGAGACACTCAGTCAACTTCAGAGGAACCCTGTACTCCAGCATCTCTTGAAACAGCTTGCTCATCTGAAGTGTCCAGTACTGAAAACATTGAAGGTGATATTCAGCAAAAGGCCACTGACGAAAACTTGAACACACCTTTAATGTCAGAAATCTCTCCAATGTCCACCTCACCTGTAACCTCAGAAGCATCTCTGATGTCAAATTTACCTTTAACATCAGAGGCATCACCAGCTTCTAATTTACCTTTAACATCAGAAACATCTCCAATGTCTGATTTGCCTCTAACATCAGAAACATCTTCAGTATCTTCTGTTCTTCTAACTTCTGAAACATCTGTGGCAAATAGTTTGCCTCTTCCATCAGAGACATCTCCAGTTTCTAATTCCCCAAGCAATGAAAGACTTATTCTGCAACAAAAGAAATCACCATGTTTGTTGGATGACTCCCTTCCCACTTTGAAAGAGGAAAGCTCTGCCATTCCTAAGGTGATTCAAGAAGAAAATCTTGTTGTTCAGCCAAAGCAACTTCAGAGTGCCCCTGAAAATATGAAAGTTGGTCCACTAGCAATTATACCTGATACTTCAGTATTAGAAGAGCCCCAGAGCAAAAACCTCAGTCATCAGCCATGTAAGTCACATTCTGATATTGAGAAATCCTACATTGCATCCATCCCAGAACACTCTCCTCCAGAGGTGATCAAAATTAAAAACCACAGTGTTCAGCAAAGAGGTGACAAAAAAGGTACACTCTTGCCATCAGAGGTAGCTGTCTTATCAGAAGGATCAGTTGGCAAAAATATTGAATTGCTCCCATCAAAGCCACATGATAAACTATATACCTCATCTCTAGAGAAAGCTGCATTCTCTGAAGTGTGCAGAAGTAAATCTCACAAGCTAACAGGCAGCACCCAAAGCCGTCTAGAGAGTTCACATTCTTCCAAGTCATTAGAACCCACAAAGTCACCTGAAGTGAGGAGTGAAAGTAGAGACACAGAGATCCCAAAGAGGAAAACAGCAGAACAGCACAGTTTTGGAATCTGCAAAGAGAAGAGAGCTAGAATAGATGATGATCAGCCTAACCGTAGTGCTTCATCAACGAGTCCATCTGATAAAGACCAGCCGCCCAGAGAAGAACCCCGAGTTCCACCCCTTAAGGTAAAGTAATTAATGAACAGGCTGACTCGGAAACTAAAGGTTTATTATCTCCCTCCTACTGACTGCATGCAGACACAGTGCATGGTGTATTTTTTGTGAAGGTTTGAGGGGTGTTAGTACTGATGGTTTCACTTTACTATTACATTCCCACTATGCAAAATTACGTCTGATACAAATATACCTATAGTTGATCTGTCAGGGTCTTCGATACAAAATTGCTTTTGTGTGAGGAAAAGTTTTCCAGGATCTCTGGCTTAATCTTATTCAAGGGCTTCCCCATCATTTACACAGTGCTACTTGTTTTTCTAATTGCCCAACTGTATTATCCACTTGTTCTCCTGCTGATGACTTCTCTGGCAAGCATGAATAATAAATGTTACCATAACCAATACTAAGAAAAAACAACCAGTGCCTTAATCCAGCAAGAGAACCTAGAGTCAGGATAGTTGGAGATCCCTCTGCAAGCCCTGGGCTTGGAGTAGGCTGAAGTATAGGATTTCCCTGTATAATTAATTGGAAACAGAGACCTGGCTATCAGGGGGAAGTGTCTAATTGATGTATGTATGGATATCTTTGTTAACAGCAAAGCAAAGGTAAAAAAGATACACCAACTAAGCAAACACTTTTATGTGTATCGTTCTGTTATGTAAGAAAGTAAATTCCAGTTGAAAGCTTTCTTTTTTTTCCTAACAGAGGATCAATAGATTTAGTTATATATAGACTCAGTATTTTGACCCTTTTAATTTTGTACATGATGACATCAGCCAAGTTTTAGATTCAATTTGCTGAACCTAAGCCATTGACTTTGCAATACTAGTTCCTGATTATTCAGAAGTGCCCTTTTCTGCATTTATTTTTAACTGCTGCAATCACTGAACATTGTTAATGTGGCCAGGAGGGCAAATAGGCTAACTGTTTTAATCACTAGTGCAGCAGCATATTTCAACTAATTTATTTTTATTAGCACTGATGCAATTGGAAGTTAGCCCATTCTGAGTTTAGTGATATTCTTTCATATTTGGAAGCTCTCTATCTAGCTTAATAAATTCTAATCACTCTCTAAGCACAAAGGAAAATAGATCACTAGGGAATAAAAAAAGGTCATGACTATAATAATAAACATAATCAAGCACTCAGAGCTTTAGCAGTTCTGGTTATGCAAAGTAGAAACTGAAAGAAGTTGCTACTGAAACAGAAAGCAAAATGTTTTGCAGTAATTGTGAGTTTGTGATATTCTTTATAATACCTTCATGTAAATGTTAAAGCCTTGCAATTTTAGTCATGAGTGTTTATTTATAAGCCATAAATTTAACTCCTAGGAAAAGTGAAGTATTCCAGCCCTCCAGACCAATATGGAGTTGTATGGTTATATAAATGGCTATATTACAATACCGTCTTAATATTGATTTCTACTGATCTCTAATGGAAAATCAGATACTGTCAGTCTTGCACTATCTTAAGAATTCAATCTCCCTGAAGCCTCCAGCCAGTGAATGAGAATACTGAAAAATTGGCAAACATTTCAAAGAATAATTTGGGACAATCAATTCTAGTATGTTTTTTTTCTGTAACAAATATTTGGGTTTTGGATCATCTCACCAACAAACCCCTGTCCTTTGTAATTAGAAGAGGAAAGAGAACCCCAGTTCTTCTAAATCATTCTGCTGTATGGCGCTCAATTCCTGTCATACCTTCCGACTACTTTTTCTACAAATGCTACCTAGTTTTCTTCTCATCTCCTTTCAGAAGAGAAGTCAGAGCATTAACCACTAAGTCCTATTACTGTGGTCAGCCAGTAAGTGTATGTCCCTTTTAAGAAATGGCTTTTTGCTAACCTTTGGGTATTCTAAGACAGTTTGAGTTACAGAGTGGTCCCAGGACTCTTAATCGCTAATCCTGAAAACAGATGTGCCTAATTAGAAAAATACTAATAATCTCAGTGATTTTCCAGGTTATTATTTTGCTAAAATTTTAGGTATCTAAAACTTTAATATTTGCATTTTTAATATCTGTAGGTTTGAGGATTTAACTTTTGAAATGCAGTAGTGTAGGAGATATCCCAGGGATGTATTAAAGCGCGTCTCTTAAAATTGCAAGTGAGGAAGGGAAAGGCGTATCCTTCGGTGATTCACTTCTTTTATACCACTACTCTGAAGTGCTCTGTGGTGTAACATGAAAAACAGACTCAGTGGAGACTTTGCTACATTCTAACTAAAAGCAAGATTTGTTGTCTGGTATATAAGCAAAAGACAGGCTGTTCCTAGTGTCTTAGTCACTGGAGACCAAGGAACAAAAGCATTACATGATCGTTATTTTTTCACACGTTTGCAGCAAGTGCTTAGTCGTAGGCTCTTTTCCAGTATCACTGCACTAGGCTTGTTGATCTTCTCAGTTAGATACATTGCATATAAAACAGTTCTGACAAATTGTATCAGATAAGCATCATGTTGTCATCCAGTTCAATCTTTCTTCCTGTCAGAAGGATCAGCGTGAGTAGGCTAATGCAGGTGTCAAGTATTCATGTCTGAGGATGATAAAATACTGAAGTGTAAATATAATTCATTTTTAGCATTTTTCTGTCCAGATGCACTGAACAGTGATTCCCCTTGTTACCTTCCTCTGACCCTTTAAGAGACAGTTGGTGATTTTAGTGACTTGATGATCTCATTATAGTTATTGGTTTTTTTCTTCCTTTAGATTCAGCTTTCAAAAATTGGACCACCTTTTATCATCAAGAGCCAACCTGTTTCTAAACCAGAACCTCGAGTTTCCCCGAGTACATCGGTCAGCAGCGGGAGAAACACTGGGGCCAGAACTCTTGCAGATATCAAAGCCAGAGCTCAGCAAGCAAGAGCCCAAAGAGAAGCTGCAGCTGCAGCAGCCGTGGCAGCAGCTGCGAGCATAGTCTCCGGAGCAATGGGGACCCCATGCGAAGGTGGGAAGACAAGAACACTGGCACACATCAAGGAGCAAACAAAGGCCAAGCTATTTGCAAAGCATCAGGCCAGAGCTCATTTACTCCAGACTAATAAAGAATCAAAGTCACAGTTCAGCTCAAAGGAAAGTACCTCATCTCTGGAGATACCAACTTCTACTGACACAAAGATTGAAGGTTCTACCGGTGTCATTATAGTTAATCCTAACTGCAGGTCCCCTAGCAACAAGTCTGCTCATCACCGTGAGACTACCACTTTATTGCAGCAGTCACTTAACACAGCTACATTACCAGAAACTGCTACTGAGATATCTGTGCACAGTTCTGATGAAAATATACCTATGCCACAATTGTGTGAGAAAATTATTTCATCTACCTCTACTGAAAGTAACAGTGTGCCAGTGCTTTATAATAAAAGTTCAGTCTCTGTGTCTGTTTGCAGCACTGCTATGTCTGGAGCAATTAAAGAACTTTCTTTTGCAAGTTCTGTTGATAAATCCTCTGTTTTAATGTCTGTTGACAGTACAAACACAGCAGTTTCAGCTTGTAATATAAATATGCTGAAAACCATCCAAGGGGCTGATACTCCATGCATAACCGCTGGACCAAAATGTATTGATAACAGTAATGTACCAATCTCCATAGACAATACAGTCTTATCAAATGCCATCGATGACAAAAGGTTGCCGATACCAAGTAGCAATGCGAATAACGCAGTCTCCAGTCACTATGCCACTGTGCCAGCTTCATCTATTGCAAATAGTTTGCCAAATCATCTCTCTGGTAGTTCTGTACTGATTCCCCCAGTGGGGACTACCAACAGATTTTCTTCTGATAAGATAGCCATAACTGGGTGTAACGAGCAAAGCACTGTTTCCATTCACACTACTGTTAGGTCAGCTTTAAGTTGCAGTGAGGCCCTTGCAGTAGCAGATTCTGTTGCAAGGCCGCCCATTTCAGTGTTTACTGGTAACATGGTGACAATAAGCTCTTACGATAATGCTACTAAATTAAATGCTGATCTCTTAGAAAAAAACTCTGGAGCACGAAACCGAATGGATCTCTCTGGTAAATCTCAGCCAGTGAGCTTTACACAAACTGCCATGAATAGGTCTATACCTTGCAAAGTCATTGTTGACCACACTACAAATCTGAATTCCAGTCTGTCACTTTCTTCTTCTATTGAAAATGCAGAGAACAGCATTGACCTGCAGAGCAGACCTGTAAGGACAGAAGCTGCCTTACAAAGTATAGCCTGTCCTCAGGTGTCTGTCATAAGCAGGCCTGAAGTGGTCTCTAATGAAAGCCTTGAGCACAGTTCCAGCTTTATCACCATTACAGCAAAGCAAGACAGCAAGAACTTGCAGGCAGGTTGTTCAAGTCTTCGAGAAGTGCCTCTTGCTCCTCAAGATAAGTTAATTGAGGTAGTTACTCCCAGCCAAGGTTTTGCTGAGCAATTAAGAGGTCCTTCAGCATTTAAAAGTGAAGCAGATACTGTCTGTGCCAATCAGTATAACACTAACAATAGAATTTGCTGGCATGATGAAGAGGCAATGAGTACAGACCAGCCAGTGGTCAGCCATCTTAACTCCGGTAAGCATAAGGAATATGCAGAGCAAAACTGCTTAAAAAATGTCAAAACTGAACCTTCCGGTTACACGCAAATGTCAGAACTGCAATCCAGGAGTCTTTTGACGAGCATTGCTGTCCCTGTTAAATCGGAAACTAATGAGTCTGACAAGTGCTTCAGGATGGACACCGAGGATTTTACAGGACCTGAAATGCCTGCCCAGACTGCAGAAATAACCACGAGTGCGCAGCCACCACAGACCTCCAAGACATCCATTGCGGACTCCATGGAAGACTCCCTGACCCTGACAACAGAAACCCTAAAGAGAGTTACCAGTGCCGGGGGCTCAAGCTGTCGCTTGTCGTCAGTGGAGGCCAACAATCCTTTAGTGACACAGTTACTGCAGGGCAATCTGCCCTTAGAGAAAGTGCTGCCACAGCCCAGATCAGGAGCCAAACTAGAAATTAACAGGCTTCCCCTGCCTTTGCAAACTACCTCAGTATGTAAAACAGCAGTGTCCGAGAGAAATATTGTTGAACATCCTTCCAACTCTCCTAATCCAGATGGTAAAGGATTTACAGCAGGCAGCATAGCCCCGCTACAAATCAGAAAGCGTGAAAACCATCCGAAAAAGAGGATGGCCAGGACTGTAGGGGAACATGCTCAAATTAAATGTGAGCCTGGGAAGGTGTCAATGGACACAGATGTTAAAGTGGCTCCTTGTGTAATTAGTTCCAGCATGAATCAGCTAGGGCATGGTCAGCCATTTAAGCAGGAGTGGCTGAACAAACATGCCATTCAGAGCCGAATCGCTCACAGCCCAGAGATCAAGCAGCAGAAGAGGCCGTTGCCTTCATGCAGTTTCCAGCAGAGCTTATTTCACATTGATAAAAATGGCAGCTTTCATGCAGAAGCCAGTACCTCACATAGACAGCATTTTTACCAAATGTCCATGGCTGCAAGAGGCCCCATTCCAACGGCAGCTTTGTTGCAAACTACTTCAAAAGGCCCACCTGGCTGCAACGCATTTGCTTTTAGCAGACACCTGGAACAGAAGGGCTTGGGAGACGTGAATATTTCTACAGCAGCTCACCAGCTGAGGCTAGGAAGTGTGTTTTCCCCTAATATTCAAATTAAGGAAAGCGATGACATTGCCAGTGCCTCTCAAACTCTGCAGAGTAAAACATTAGTGCATCCCCCTCCTCCCCTGCCTCCTCCTCCCCCGCCACCTCCTCCCCCTCCTCACCCCAATGCAGAAGTCCCCTCTGATCAAAAACAACCGACAGTTACTATGGAAACCACTAAAAGACTTAGTTGGCCTCAGCCAGCAAGCATCTGTAGCAATATAAAATCGGAACCTATTTCTTTTGAGGAAGGTTTAAGCAGCAGCTGCGAACTGGGCATGAAACAAGCTTCCTATGATCAGAACGAAGTGAAAGAACAGTTAAAAGCTTTTGCATTAAAAAATGCAGATTTCTCTTCCTATTTACTTTCTGAGCCACAGAAGCCTTTTACCCAACTTGCTGCTCAGAAAATACAGACGCAGCACCCGCAGCAGCAGCAGCAGCAGCAGCAGCAGCAGCAGCAGCAGCAGCTCTGTGGAAATTATCCAACGATACACTTCGGTAGCACAAGCTTCAAAAGGGCGGCATCTGCAATTGAGAAATCGATTGGGATTTTAGGAAGTGGCTCAAACACTGCCACAGGCCTGTCTAACCAGAACGCTCAGATCCCGGTTCAGAAATTTGCTGACAGTAGCAATGCCGATGAACTGGAACTGAAATGCTCTTGCAGGCTCAAAGCCATGATTGTGTGCAAAGGCTGCGGAGCCTTCTGTCATGATGACTGCATAGGGCCTTCCAAACTGTGTGTAGCTTGTCTGGTCGTGCGGTAGGAACTGAATCAAAGATGCAGTATCCCTTAGCAGCGTGGGAGAGCAGGAGGAAGGAACGGAGAAATTGGAACAGTTTAGGCCACAAATGGTTTGCAATTGGTTGATTGATTTTTTTTTGTTTGTTTGTTTTGTTTTAATTTGTTTTTTTTTCTTCCATGTGGTGCTTTCAGAATTTAGTTAATCCTGACTGAGTGCCATTTTCCAGGAAGAAGAGGAAAGCTGTAAAAGTAGTTTAAAAAAAATATATATATCCTTGTTACTGAAGCATCTACGAGCTCTCTTGCTGTGCTAAAAAAAAAAAAAAAAAAAAAAAAGGCATTAATGCATGTCATTCATAGCTTATATTTATTTGCACAAAGTGCAGCATGTTTTTTCTCCACTTTTTGACAGTTGATACAAGCTGCAGGTTAAAGATCAGTGGAAGATTATCTCTGCAAGAAGTGGAGCAACTATGCAGAATGAATAACACACTGAATAGCAAATGTTTTGAGTGGGGTAGTGGCAGGGTGCGGGGTATTGGCCATCGTAGCTTCTAAGTGAATATGCAGTTTTTCTGCTAGTAGGATTGTTTTCTTCAATTGACTTTCACTATCTAGGGCTAAAATATAGTCACTTCACCTGGCAAAAAAAAAAAAAAAAAAAAAGAGGAATTTAGATTGTTAAAGGAGTTTCCTTACATGCCTGCCAGGGACTATGGAACTAAAATCTGACTCATCATCTCTTCTTGTTGATTCCATGAGAAAGATTTGTGTATGTGATGCGATAGTGGGACCAACACTGGAATCACATTGGCTTCAGTAGAGTGGAGAAAGTAACTTCTCTACTGGGGATTAGAAACCTGTTTTCCTGTTTCCCACACAAGTATTCTTTATTTGTATTTGTCTCTCTAATCTGTCCACTTGGTTTGTCAGTCCCAAATATATACACAGGGTCAGACTTACGTAATAGGTTCTGGATGTTTTAGCCTTCCTGTGGCCTAAAAATGATGTGTTCTTATGATGAATGAATAAGGAAATATTCTAATTACGTATTCATTGAATATTAGATTATCAGTTGGTTTTCCTCTTATGTGAGTTATTCTATTTAAATAACATCTCAGAATTTTGCCATTTAAAGTAATTCTTAGAATTACTTACAACACTGACTTTTTTTTTTTCTTGAAGGAATTCAGACCTCTTACTCAACCTTTTAGAAATTTGGAAGCAAAAAGGCATTTTTAAAAGGGATACTGCATCTTTAAAGTAACTTTCAGTATTTATCCAGTACTGTATTTACATTCAGGACTATAGCTGCATTCCAGATGCGCTAGCCACCATAACAGCAGAGAAGAAAACCAATAATTTTGGGGCCCTATTCACCTAAAAGGAAAATCTTATAAAGGGATAAAGCACATGCAGTTGCTGGGGAGATGAAAATACCTTGGGTTTTTATACTCCCACTTCAAGAACACAAAATGTGGAGTGCAAGTCATCCATCTGCCAATATGTGGTTGGGTCTGCCCAAATGTCAGCATCAGAGAGAAGTGTTATTTTTACCATTACAGTAGAACCTCACTAATCCAGAGACCTTACAGTCTGCTCAAGAAAACTGATTTTCCTTCCGCAGTTTTCAGAGAGCAATGTAGTAAGAATGCGTGAGATGTAATACTGCTTGGATTTTGTGATTCATTTACTGTTGCGTTCTGAAATATTAATGTGAATGATAGAACTACACTTAGGAAATAAAAAGTATACTACATTTTACACTATCCTTTTTTATATGATCTTTGTTTGCATACTTACTCACAAGCTGTAACTGGTCTCCCTAACATGGGTGCATATTGGTGAGGTTCTACTGAATGGAGGAGCCACATTTATTTTCTTGTGGGACCATTTTCACAAACATGCTAAATGCCATTTATTGTCTTAAAAGTGAGGTGGAATATCTACAACATACATTCCTGTCATAGGAAGCTCTATGGTGCACCTTGATGTTCTCTTTTATTGTAATTAGCAACATATCGATATTATTTTTGACACTGAGTGGTACAAAGGCCATTTATAATTACACTAACAAATTTGTTGCTGATACAATAATATATTTTTTCTATACAAAAGTGCTCCTTAGTGTGACATGTGAGTTAAGAAACGACTTCTCAGCACTTTCAGGTCTTCTGGTAGGAAAACAAGCCAGCCAAGCAAAAACCTAAAAGTAACCACATGAAAATTAGCATGCAGTGCTATGCCAGCTGCTGGCAAAACAGTGACTGGAAAATACTCATGAATAAGCATGAGTGTAGTCAGTTAATGCATATCAAATTCATATTTGAGGAGCCTTTGTATCGGAATTGTATTGCATTGTATTTATACTTGGTAGAGGTAGGATACTTCTATTTAAAATGAAGAGAGCAACCAGTCTTAGACTTCTAATAACCTATGTTTATATAAGCCTGCTGGAATCCTTATTTCTAGCTCAGGTTTTCCTGTCCACAGCACATAAGTCAATATTTGTTTGTACGTGCATCTTGAAATACTTCTTGTATTGACGGACATAATACAGAAATAAATTCCGGCCACAAAATACTTTTACTTTGTTCAAAGGATAAGAGTGTGACTAATGTGGTAGGTAACTCATTCATGTCACGTTGTCATTTTTGTACCAGGATTGCAACTTGCACGTGTGAGGTCATGATAAAATATTTAAAATGGCATTAGACTGGATGGTGCTACACAACCGACCAAACTCTTCCATAGTGCAATTCCACTCCTTTGATTCTAGGTCACTGGAGTTGCACCAGGAATAAATTTGACCAATTAGTTAGCAACAGTTGTGAAGTGTTGTTACCGATTATAGTTTTAGGGTATTAAAATACTCAGAAGCAACAGCAGCGGTACAGGAGCCTGGCTGAATACTAGTGTGAGTGAAAACCTGACTTGGATTCTGGTATCACACAAATGCTTGGGAGAGAGCGACCCTTGGTCTTCAGTAAGAACACAATCACACTTAGAGGTTAATTTTGAATTATTAATTTTTTTTGTTTAATTGTCCAGGTTTCAGGCCCAATGATGTCATTGTGTTTTCTAATGACCATGCAGTTTGCACCGTGGGGTGTTAATAGTTTATGCACTGAAAAGTGGTGAAAGAATTGCTTAAGAACACACTGCTCTGTGTTTGCGTGTACGTATGTGTCCCAATGTCCAGCATGTATAATTTACCTTTTTTTTTTTTTTTTTTAAATCTCTAAAATTGTTCCCCCACTCCTACCCCTGGAGCAGCACTTTTGGGTGAGAGGGAGAAACACTCTTCTTTTTCTTTCCTCCCTCTTTATTGTTTTAATTGCATACCTGTGAGATATGCAGATAATGTTAGGGCATTTGCAGTGTGTGTGTTTGTGTGTTTCTGTTCTGAACTAATTTTCCAAGCAGAAACTCCCTTTGAAATAATGTTTTTAAAAAAAAAAAAAAATTAAGAAATGGTGAACTGGATGCTCCCTGTTTGCATTTTATTTATCTGCTGAGGTCTAGTACATGAAATAGCATTTAAAAGACAAAAATAAAGGTTGAGCCATAAAGCAAAAGGTGTATTCTCTGTACTATAGACTTTCTTCTTGAGGGTGGTGCATGTTGTCAGGGTAAGCTACAGAACGTGCAGATGGTTTTTCAGGGCCCTGCAATTCCTTGCACAGTTTTTAAGCTTGTGCATATGGTGCTTTATAATGCAATTTCTGAAGTAAAATTACCTTATGCTGCACCCCCTTCCCCTTATAAACACACGCACAATTTCAGAATCGTTATTGTAGCCTCTGGTTTAGCAGTTTCTCCAAGGTGTGGTGAAGTACCAGGATACACACTCAAGATGAGCTGAGAAGTGTCACCGAAAGGGATCATTTTAGCTGACACACGTGAACGGCCCTGCTCTGAGCACTGAATGACTCCTGCAGACCCCTGGCAGCAGCGCAGCGGTTTGTCCTCTGTGGCTCTGCAGAACACTGAGGGGGGGAAGCAACAAAATATTCAGTGGATTTATCATGGACCTGTGTAGCTAAATGTTTCTGAATCTATGAAATCCTGTTGTCTTCGGTCATCATGCTTTGTCACTGTAAAACCAACGAAAAGAAAAAAAAAGCATTTTTTAGTCTAATTTAAGGAGCTGCTTCTTTTATAGCACATAATATTTCGCTTTGTACTATATTTGATAGTTAAAGAATAATTTAGTTCGTAGAATAACTTTGTTGTATTTGTACTGTTCATGAATGTTACAAGAAAAGTGCTTTACTTTGTTGCCATAATTCTCTTGTACTGCTGTAAAATATTTTTTCTGCTTTACAGAAACTTAACTCGATTCACATTTTCAGTACAGGGTTTTTTGTGTGTATGTATTTTTTTGTCAGTATTCTGAATGTTTACATCTGTTCGACATTAGCCATTCTATGCCTTTATAGGGCAGTATTACTCCTGCAGTATAACAGCAATGTGAAATCCACTCATACCTAACATGCATGAGAAATACAGATTTATTGGGGAGATCCCTAACGCGCATAGATATTTTTTCTATCTGCATTCAGTGAAGTAAATACCCCCCTTCGGTCCTCTACCAAAGAAAATATTATTCCCACAGGACAAGCTCAGAAAGTGGTTCTCTGAATCTTCAGAAGGGGGTGTAGATGGTTTCAGCGGGATTGCTACAGTTTAATGCTGTTATGCTTTGCTTTGTTACCCCACCAGACGTGACTGGGTGAAACAAGCATTTTAGCAATTTTTCTTTCGAGACAGTGTTTTGTTTAGAATTCAGGGATCATGCTTTCTTTAATGGTGCTGTTTGTTTTTTTGGTTTTTTTTTTTTTTTTTTGTTTTTGTTTTTTAAGAAAACAACCTTTTGTTGCCTACAGAAATGACCATTCACAAACCCATAAATTAAATAAAATAATTTGTCTTCATAACTTCTTTCATCTCCCTTTCCTTTTCCCCTTCCCTGTTCCTTGAAAATAACAACTTGGGCTTCAATATGAAAATATTCTGAAAAAAAAAAAATAAAGAGATAAAATAATATTTGTCATTTGCTTATTTATTTTATGTTCAGTGCCTTAGGCAGGAGATCCTGCTTGTGCACATCCATTGTATGTACAGGTTGATGAAATAGAAATGTGAGAGAAAAATCAGTCCTTTGTAAAGGATTTTTCAATTACAATGGTGTAAGACATAGTTTGAATGACTTCTGATGTAACTCAAGTATTAATCATCTTATACTAGTAAAATAAAGCTAGGTGTTATATATTAAGTTGTTGTAAGTAGAATAGTTTGTGGATGAAAGTGATTATATTGCTTTGGGTAGTTAATGCTGAGTGTATTTTCAGTACTTTGCCTCCGTCTGCAACCCCATCCAGAACATGCTTAACAACAGCAATCCAGCCATACACCTCTGTTATTTCTCATCCCCACAGCAGAAGAAATTACATGTCTGTGGTACATGGAAGGCCACCAGTCCAAGTTATATTCCTCAAACCAGTTATCTTTCAAAGTGTGAAAGGCCATACCGAAATGGGAATTCAGAAGCCATTATATGTAAAATTTAAAATTAAAAAAAAAAAAAAAAAAAAAGAGCGGGTGGTTAGGGTGTAAGTGTTAGTGGGTGGGCAGCAAATAGTTTTTTCATAGGCCTGCTCAGAAATACCAGAACAGCACATCCTAAACACCAGCTTTTGTCCAGCCTCCTGTCATTATTATTTCAGATGTGGTACCATCTGAGGGTCTTGTTAGCAGTGAATGGCAGCCCCTTCTGCCAAAATCTGTCCAAATCCAGAAAGACAGTACCAACCTATGTAGGTTATAATCCAGTGACCTTTATTTCACATCCAGTGCCCACCCAGCAAACTCAGTTAGTGCTGTCATGCAGATTATTTAATTATTTTTTTTCTGCTTAAATATTTGTTTTTGCACGGGGCTGTGCCAAATCAGGGACCAGCTCTGCTTCTGACACGAACAGCTTCTTTTTTTTTGTACAATTTTGCTTCCAAGCAATGTAATGCAAATCCATTTGTTAAATCTGTACAAGCTAAATATTCACTTTTGTCCTTTTCCTTCTTTTTACTTTTTAAAACCTGTAAAATATTACTGTACATTTTTATTCAATTTAAAAAAAAAAAAAAAAAAAAAAAAAAAGAAAGAAAAATAAGTACTTAGCCTTTCTGTGGTGTTTGCTTACGGACCTTGTAAATTTTAGCAAGTTAAGCCTTGTGGCTGCTCTTAAGCCGGTGGGCTCTCCTGAGGCCGGCCCGGCCCACCCCGGCGGCTCTGCCGGCAGATGGCATCAGGAGAAAACACGCTGCTCTGGTCTCTTCGGTTTTCCTCAAAAAAGCACATAGCAGGAAGAAAACCAACCACGAATACAGAGGTTTTCTGGGTTTGTCTTCCTTCCGTGTGGAGCTTTAGCTGCGGTGAAAAGAAGCCCTCCTCCCCGACCCAGTCCTGGGACTCAGCTTTCAACAGAAACGATGCCCCGAAGCTCACACCCTCCGTTCCCGCACTTGGCGCTGTCTGAGTTGTGCAGTCTGTGGAACTGAAGTACCGACACGCTGGAAAAAATTCTTCCCCAGGCCAGAGCCAAGGCGTATTTTTCTTCCTGCTGTTTCCTTTGCCGCTCGTGGATGAAGAGAGACAGCAGCACAGCTCTTCATACCAAGGCGCTCCACGAATAGATGTGAGGGCAACATCATCAGTGCTTGGTGTGCGGAGGGTGTGCTCTTACCAAGCCTGGCCTTTGCTGGATGACATGGCTTAACAGCTGAAGGACCACCACACAGCAGTTCCTTTGAGGACCACCACGTTGGAGACAGCTTTCCGTGGTAAGGAAGGTAGGCAGTCACAGGCACAGACACCTGCTGGTACCTGCCTCTGGAGACAGAGTGCATCACTAGTATGGCTGGGTTTTATGGAAGCTCAGCTAGACATAGAAATAAAGCAACACTTGTCGAGATAATTCAGACACCTGGACAGCGGTACTCTACCAATACATAGCAGACACAGATGAAAAGAATTTGTTATGCGAGAGTTAAATGGCAGTTGGGTACTTTAAAGTACTGAAAGTTCGTGCTCCCAGCCTCCGAGGCACCTATTGCCTCACCAGCAGTGATGGAATCAACAGTTGTTTCACATATCCATGGGGGAAAAATACCTGGATTGTAGTTTTTGGAAGCTGATGACACTCTGGATAGATGTGAATTTCTATGTACAGGTCACCTTTCTAACGCCCTGCTGTTCTGTGTCCTTTGGCCTGATCTTGTAGAGCTTCATTCAGCCTTCAGAGTTTTATCTCCATGAATTTCCAATAAAAAGGTGAGAGCTTTCTTCTAATACCTCTGAGCATCCACGTGCATGTACCACCAGGGCAGAAAACAGTTTAAGAACCCACATAGAAAAAACACATCTGAAAATAAGCTGAATATATTGCCTAATTTTCTTCTATTAATAAGAAATCATGTTATGTTGAGTAAATAAATGACTGTTAATATAAAAGGAGATACCTCTTTTTTTTTTTTTTAAATACTCGGCCTTGCTGTAAATAGTCCTATCTGCTTCTGATTCTTTCCCAACTGCTCAAATCCATCCTGAAAATCACTTTTTCATGCCCCCAGATTGTGAACTTTCAGCCCAACATCTATTGTGCAGAATCTTTGCTTCTGCTGTGTGCATTTCTGGCTTTTAAAGGAGCAAATATGGGTGGTGGTGGAAAGACTTGTATGCAGTGCCTCATCTTTCACTCATTTACTTATGCATTGTGCAGCATGGTATGGACTCTTTGGGGAAAAGAATAAAAGTAGCTGTGAAAATACAATAATCCTAACATGTTCCTTGACTTCCTTTAGGTTATTGAGTGGAAAAGTCTAAGCCTCAGATTTTTTAATGTGTGATCAGGACCAGACTCATAGCAGCCAGAATAGACCATAGTCCTGGGTTCCATCCAGAAGTGAGAATTTACAGTTCAACAAGTCCAAATAAATGATTGTAGAGTATTAGGAAAACAGGGTCTTTGTTCTGTTTTCCTAAAATGGGAAGTTTAGAGCCTTACTTTAGTTTCCTGACTCTAAAAGTCTCTGCCTGCATTGCCAGGCAAGTCTTAGGTTCATTGCTGTGCATAACAGTTCAAAAAATAATCTAGAAATACATTCAGTGTCACCTATTTCTGTTACGTATGTCATGCTACCTAGAATGGAATTAATGTGGATGGGGAAAAATCTGCATTTGCCTTCTCAGTTCCTCTAAAATATAATGAAAGGGCAGTGAAAATAGCCATGTGATTCAAGGGACTTTGCAGAGTATTACTGGACTCAAGGAATAGACCCTCTCCATTCTGCACCTTCGAAATTTTCAGAGAAATATTATGAAGATCTTTATGAAGTGAGTAGGTGACAGTAAAGAGGAATGATATGTACACCAGTGCCAATGGTACTTGA